TCATTATTAATACTAGCTGATATATTTTGTCCACTTCAAATGTTACTCATTGTATTAATGGAATTATATAAAAAAAGTTGCATTTATATTCTGTCAAAAAACAGATATAATTGGCATATAAGTATATTTGCTTCTTTAATACCAATGTTATTCACTATAAAGAGCCTTCTATTAGTACTTTTGAATGATTTTTGGAAAGCAGTTTTCATTTTTATGCTAATTTGTAATTCTATTTGGAATTGTGGGTGATTGTGTATGTGAACAAAAAATCTCATACGAGTGAAATCACTGTTGCATTCTCTTTCTCTGTAAGTTCTCAGGTTTGAAGAATTTACTATTTCTCTGAAAAATGTGAACAAAAAAACTGTGAAGATTGCTTAAATAATTCACTATTGGATCCTCTTTCTCTGTAAATTCTCAGGTTTGAAGCATTATTATTGATGCATGATTGAAATTAAGCTGAGGGAGGTGTTTGGCATCTGCTTTTCTGTTTGGTTTGAGCGACCGAACTTGCATGAGAAGCACTTTTGTTGGTAACCTATATATTGATGTAATCTTTTGTTCTTTTGGTATCTATTTATGTTTTGTTGCACCCCAAGTGGTTTAGGAGCATTTGGGTGTCTTGAAATTACATATACTTGTTGATGTTGATCAAGCTATGCCTAACTGAGTGATACTAAATTAGTAACTTGATGTGAATCATCTTACACAATGACAGGATATAAGATCGTACAGAGTTACTCCTTATTTACAAGAGTCACATTTTCGACGGGCTGGTCCTCGTCTAAAGGTCATTCTCTCACTCTGATCTCCAAACTCTTTGAACTTTATTGCTTTTATGCTCCATATTGAATTATGAAGAGGGTTGATGGATCTTTATTCTCAAACTTGATTCAAATCTGATGATGTCCTAGCACATATAGTTACATGTGGAGGTTTATGCCCTGGGTTAAACACAGTGACTAGGGAATTAGTGTACGGTCTGCACCACGTGTATGGTATGAGCAATGTTTTCGGGATAGCGGTAAGCAACTGTTAAGATTTGGGTCTTTTAGTGAAAATATACGTGTATTCTCTCTGGAAGTTTTTCTCAATATGCTAATAGTTTAACACATGTGATCCCACCTGGGATTTAAAGGTTTTTACTCTAGCAATGTTGTCCCTTGGACACCGAAAGTAGCTAATGAGATTCATAAATGTGGTGGTGAACTTCTCAGGACATCAATATGGGGCTATGTGACATAAAAAAAATTGACAGCATTTGAGACCGCAACATAAATCGGGTATTTACATTTCTTTGTTAGATGTTACAATATAACACTTTGTTTGTCGAGGTTTACGATGAGTGTGAATGTATTGTTTGAATATCATTCCACAGTGGATCTGTGAGTATTCTATACCTTCCGAGTCAAATTTCTTACTAATTTGGTAAAACAAGTTAAGCTGCATTTTCTTTTTTATTCGCCAGTCCACTGACATCACATCTCCTTATATATAAAGAGTGGAAGAAAGTTAGTTTGGATTTTTTTACGTTGCTACAATACCTATTTGGCCTCCCCGTTTGTTGTCTCCGTTTGATAAGCGTGGTCTGCTTCCCTCCGCTCAATCTTACTCCTCCGTATACATCATCTAAATGTCTTCTCTCCCAATTTATAAGCTAGAGTTCGCAAGGTCGGGTTCGCAAGGAAGTCACAGCGCATCGTCCGCCAAAGGAGCCGCCCTCGATGTCAATCTGAAGGTATCTTCCGCCTCTTTCCATTTGTTAGTTATTGTCATCCTCTTATCGATCTTCTTCTCCATCTCCATTTGTTAGCCATCTCCATTTGTTAGTAGTTGTTGTGAAGACATGAAACAACACAAAGTGGAAAACCCAGTGGTTAGTAGTTGTTCTCCATCTTCGCCTCTCTCCTCCATGCCGCCGGCGTCGTGAAAAGATTTGAGCTGAAAACAATAAGGCCCAGGTTGCAGAGAACCCGACAATGAGAAAAAAAGGCCTCAAATTATCCGTTTCAGTATTATTTTAATGATTAATTAAATTCAAATCTACTCTCTTCTGGGAAGTTTGATTTACAAATTTAAAATTAATTAACCCAGTCAAGTTTTTACGCAGTCAAGTTTCATAGGTTGTCTGCGTGTAAGAAGAATTCCAATTTTGTTATTTCAGATGGTAAAGTTCGGAACCCTTCACTGGCTTGTTCTGCTTCCAAGAAAAAATTAGGTTTCATAGATCTAATTCTTGACTATATTGAAGGTAAATTGATAAAACAATCCCAATATATTTACTCTTCATTTTCCTTCTAAGGTTTGGTGTTCACTATTCAGTATATCATTCTATTGGCTGATTGGTTTTGTGTCGATGGTTTAGTTTCTGTGGCCGGATTGTGATGCTATAGGGTATATATATATAGGCTTAGAGTTATTTCTTGACTGATATATATATATATATGTGTGTGTGTGTGTGTGTGTGTGTGTGTGTGTGCCTGTTTGATTTTATATATGAAACATTCCACTGCATCCTCTTAAGAGTTAAAGTTTTCTCCTTTCATATTCATTTTCTTTGTTTTGTTTTGTTTTGTTTTTCTTGCTAACAAATGTTTCTGAATATATTTGTATTGGAGGTTGATCTGTCAAAATTAGGGCAGTCAGATGAGAGACTAATATACGAGGTAAGATGGCAATTTTGTTTTGAATTAGGGTACATTCCTTTTGGGTATTGTTTTCTCTTTGGTTCTTTCTGAGGCTTTGTTTGGATCTTATTGGGACTTTAATGGAGATGAAGATATTTTGCTGTTTTATCAAAGGCGCAGCAGGGGAGAGAACATGCTGATGCGGGCTTCTGCTCAATTAGTGTTGATGAAAATCTGGATGGCGATCTTCTGCAGCGGAGGCTTCATACTGTTTTGAAACAAAGGGATGAGTTGCAGCGGATAGAGATAGATCTCCGGGCTCAAATCATTACTAGGTCAGAGATTATGGAACTGTGAAAAGTTTTTGATACTAAAGTTATAGAGCAAGCAAATACCAGTATGCAACTTCAGGTATGTACAGCTGTTAGCTAATACTGTAGTGCTACATATTCTTTAGCAAATAGACTCCTGCCCCAAATTATCATACTTTCCTGATTGTAAGGGTGGCAGCATTTGCGAATCCATTATTAGTGATATTAAATTTAATATCAATCATTAACATGCACACATTTTCAAACTACACTAAAGTTTTTGTAAATCGCAAACATCAAGTGTGAATACAGAAAAAGTTATTTTGAAATAAAAAAGCGAATAAAAAGAGTTAAGTTGACTGCGAATAGAAATAACATGGAACATAGGGGGGGGGGGGTAAGATAACAAACTAATTTCATGTTATTTTGTTTAATGGGCGGGTGTTCGTGTGGAGGAGTGAAGTCGTATTATTATTTCCCCACATCTTTTTTTCCCTCTTGTTTTTTTTATTCTTTTACCCTTACATATATAAACATTATTTTTATCCTTTTGTTTCACCATTTTTAGGTATATTCATCTCTTTTTATATTATCTTTTTTATAATAGCTTATCTTTTTTTTCTTTACTTTCTCTCTTTTTCTTTTGGTGGTGATATCATGTATTGATTCATGTTAACCGACCCCAATATCTTTTGGGACTAAGGCTTGGATGTTGTTGATGTGAAGGAACAACTGCATGAAAGAGACCAGAAGATATATGAGTTGGAAAGAAGAATGGAAAATAAAGAGAGGGAATTGCAAGCAATAAGATTGGACAAAACCGGTTGGTTTGATCATATGACATCTTCCTGTATATCTTATTGATTTGGTTTATAACATCTAAAATTTGTGTTATGGGTCTTTTTTTAAATGCTTGCTTTGCATACTGTTTACTTAGCAGGCTTGGGCTAAAGAGGATCCACTGAGAAAACAGAACAAAGAATTGCAAACTTATAGGTACCATGTGTTTGCGGCATGATTGTGCATACCATGCTAATGCTTAACTCAATTACAAGCTGAAAAGTATGCTATATTATCCTTCTCAATTCTTCTCCGGGTGCTATAGAAAGAGATTGCGAACTTTGATTCCAATGGAATAAGAATGAATGCCTGCATTTGAGGTGTTTGATTTGGTAATTTTGGTTTATTGTACTTCTGTAAGGTGTTACTTGTTTGTGAACATATAAGTAATGAGTTAAAAAAACAGTATCACCACCTAATAGGCTAATATGATTGTTTCTATAATTGGGGTCTGGCGATGTATTAGCTTTAATTTATTTCAATGTGGCTCATATATTTGCAGAATAGAGTGTGGCAACCCTGAAGCTAAAAGAGCTCAGAATATTAAACCAATTCATGAACTTCAGGAGCATATAAAGAACGTGTATGCATGGAATTGCAGGAACAGGTCAGTCAGTACACATATGCCATAGTTTCAGAACATACTTTTGATGCTCTGTAGTATAGTAACAACTCTTGCACAGAAACTTTGTGTATTCAATTGTTTTTGCAAAATAGTTGCCGTCTAGAATTTTGCAGGCTGACAGTTTTGAATTCTTTTTAATCTGCATTCCAGTGAATTGACAATGTTAAGCTACTATTTCTCGTTCTGGTTTTTGCTATTTTTGCTCCTTTTTCACAACCTATCTTCCGCCATTGGGCATTGACCTTCGCGCAACGCGCGTGCCAATGCTAGTAATAATTATATAATGGTACGTAAATCAAACAAGAATTATTAATAGAAATAATTACATGACTAAAATAAAAATTGCTTACAAAATGTGACACGAATAACTAAAATAATAATTGAATCTTAGTAACTTATGTTCAATTTTTAAGCTTAAGTTATCAGGACACTACATTGTATTAACTATTAGTTATATTTGTGTAAATATGTTTTATTTTAGTAATATTTTTGAAAAAAACCCCTTATTAATAACAAGGTCCATTAATTACAAGTTTGCGGAAACATGCAATATACTAGTATATTATGTACGCATTTAATAAGAATAAAATACTGTAGGTCGTATTTAATGTTATACCCGTCAAACTCTAAATCATCATCAGGAGCGTCGTAAACCAAGTTAACAAGGCCTGTTTCATTCCCGGTGAACAATGCTTCACCCTACAATTAGTTAAAATAGAAATTGCTCAATATAAGATCAAATATGTTTTATTCCCCAAATATGACTTTTTAGGTTTCTTAACGCAATAAGTTGATTAGAACTTTCCAAAATATGAGTGAATGAGTCATACTTCAAGAATAAATAATGATAGTCCTACTCACGAACTCTACCATTGTTTTAGAATATTTTTACTTACTTATTTGAGCCCTAGACCATACATAAATAGAGCATGATATGGTAAGCTAGATCAAAACACACCAAACTTAAACATACCAGATTAGTTCAGAGCAGACTTCAACTGTTATAAAATACACAAAGATCAGATTAGACCAGAGCAGTTTAGACCAAACCAAAACAAATCAGACTTAAATAGACGAGACCAAATGAGATCAGACCACATCATAAAATTGCAATCCAATTAGAAACATGTTTAATCCTATTAAGGAGTTACTTTAAATTGATGTGGGATAGAGGGATGCTAAGATTCTAAGATATTATGCAAATAAATAAGAAATATACTACCTCCGCCCATTTTAGTTAGCTATCTTTGACTTCTGAAGTCAAAGATGAAAAACTTTAACCAATTATTTTGACTAATATTTTTATGCAAAATTTATTAGTTTTATAGTTTTATGATGGTATATTGGTATCTTTTACAAAAAAACATTTTCTTACCATTTTCATATTATGGATACTTCTGTATATAAATATATAATCGGTAAAAGTCAGACACCATTGACTTGAGAAGTGAAGTTTGGCTAAATAACTAAAATGGGACAATGGGAGTATATATATAGACACACACACACACACACACAACTATTCAGGTCCGGCCAGGCCGGACCACTCCCCCCGTCCGGCCTCCTCCATTTGGGGGCCTTCTCGGTGGTATTTTTTTTGCTCAAATTTTTTGTGTAGGTTCCTCATCAAGTCTAGTTCATCCATACCAAATTTCAGCCAAAAATTCAATCGGAAAATACACATTTTCCGGACCAGTTAACTTGCAAAAATCATTTAACGACCTTCCCGATTGAATTTTTGGCTGAAATTTGGTATGGATGAACTAGACTTGATGAGGAACCTACACAAAAAATTTGAGCAAAAAAAATACCACCGGGAAGGCCCCCAAATGGAGGAGGCTGGACGGGGCTCCGGTCAGGTATACCTGACCGGAAGAGTACTTTATATATATATATATATATATATATATATATATATATATATATATATTACCTCTGATCCATCTCTTAAACAACCTTTAACATCTTTGATTTTTCAAGTTAATGACGATAAACTTTGACCAATGATTCTGATTAATACATTTTTGTGAAAATTATTAATTTATTAATACTTTTATGAAAAAAAAATTATGAGCAAAAGGACAATTTCATTTCACTTTGTATTATAAAATTTTTCCTACATAAATATATGAACAGTTTCATTTCAAAGACTAACATCATTGACCATTTCAAAGATTACAAAATGTCAAGGAGGTAAAACATAATTTTGAATTACCGTCAGGCTTTGACCATTCCCCAATGTGATTTGTGTAGGGAATGCTCTATCAGGAGCAGAAGCAGCAACTGTTAAAATCCAAGGCGCACTACCAGACACAGTTTGACCATAGGGCCCTTCGTTACCCCCGGCCGCAACAACACTGATTCCGTGCGCAACAGCATGGAAAGAGCCAAAGTTGAGTATATCACGAGGGTCAATTTGGGAATACAAAGGCACATTTTGACCTAGCGAAACTGAAATAACATCAACTCCATCATGGATGGCTTCATCAAAGCCCTTGAGAATGTCAGCCGCTGAGCAGCTGCCATCCTCCCAGCAAACCTTATACATGGCCAGACGGGCCCGAGGAGCGCCGCCCCTTACAGTTCCGAATGCGAGCCCGTTGTAGCTGACGTTGTGCACCGGCGAGCCCGCCGCCGTGCTTGAAGTGTGAGTGCCATGTCCATTTCCATCTTGTGGAGAAATGTGGTCTTCAATTCCTGTTGTATTTCCGGGCTGCCCTAGCTCGGCCAGGTAGCCATCGATGAAATAGCGAGCCCCTATTAGCTTTCTATTGCATTTCTTCTTTGGGTCAAATTTCTCTCCCGATTGGCAATAGCCTTTCCACTTTGAGGGAACTGGCCCTAGACCTTTATCATTGTAGGCTTCATTTTCTGGCGTCACACCTGCACCATCATCATCATTACTCTAGTGCCGCAAAGACTCCGACACAGTGAGGTAAGGGGGTCGGATGTACTAATAAAGCAAAGTGAGACTGTTTCCGGAAATTGATCTAATCTAAGGCCATGTTTGTAACAAAGGAACTGAAACTGAAGTGTCATACTACACTACTACAGTGTATTGTATAGAGTTAGATAAAAGTTGATGCAACCTAAAATTTAATTGAATGAAGTAGACTTGGTTATTTGGTTAGAGTTAAAATAATGACTGAGAAATGTTAAGTTACTATAAAAAGAATGTTCTAATAGGTGCAAGAGAAATTTGAATAATAGGTGAGTAAAATTGACATAAGTTTGCCGTAAACTAATAAAGGGCTGAATTCAAATGACACAAGCACACAATTAGCAACGTTTATATTAGCTGATTAATTTTAGTTCCAAAAAGTCCAACGTACTCTTCCTTCAAACAAGGCTCTACCTGTGAATCGATTTGCTGAATTGATCAAATGTTAGCTCAATCATTTTAAACTGAAATGATCATACGAACATATCCTAAGTAAAATTGAGACAATAATTTGAGATAGTCAGATAGAAGTGACGTTTCAAAAAGACAGGTCTATGCAGAAACCATCCACCCATACTAAAAAATTGATTAGTTAATGGAAATCCTGAAAATGGCTAAAACGATGGACCTTGGTCCGGACCGTTAAACCTAGGTGACCTAGTGTTAAATACGGGAGGAAATTACCAAAATACGGGAGTTTTATGTCTGACAAGCCAAAACACGGGAATCCCAATTACGTTACCAAAATACGGGTGTCGGAATTCACAATTCCGACGGGAGTTAGGGCTGCGAAATATCAAAGAAAATAATTCAATAATAGCTAGTCGGAAATGGCAATTCCGACTGGGTGGTTTAGTAGCTAGACAATAATTTGATTTAGTGGAGAATGATGAATAATTTCAAAACAGGTTCTTCAAAAAATACTATCGTACAAAACAGTTGCTACACAATAAGGAATTTTAATACACTATGTTATTTACGTTTTTATTAAAATAATGGTTTCTCTATAAATTTAATACGGAGTACGTAGTATGGAACTGATTTTTATTACGTTTTTATGTATAAAATATTGGTTTTAATATGGAAATTATTTATAAATTAATAAACACTTAAATGTTGCGTATAGAAATAAACTTAAATGTTATGTATAGAAATATTGGTTTTAGGATGTTTTCTTTTAGACGAAAATTTACTGGTCTGTTCTGAACTACTCTGGTCCGTCCTGGTAAATGTCTGGTCTCTATGTATTTTATAAATATTCAAGTCAATTCAGGTATGGTCTGTTTAAGTCTTGTCTGTTAAGTCTGATCAGGTCTGATCTGGTCTGTTAAGTCTGATTTGGTCTAGAACTGAAAACGATCCAAATCTATCTATAAGAGCATCTCCAATTCGAGGATAGTACCTCCTTCGGGTACCAAGAGCCTGTTGGAGGCTTCGGCCCCGTTGGTTTCACCGCGGGCTACATGGTTCTCCTCGAGGGTTTTGGACTGACCACGAGTTCTTCCCATTTTGATAGGTGTTTTTGTGTTTGGCGAAGGGGAGGGTTTCTTACTTGATTGTTCGGACCTCTCAATGAGAGCACCAAATGATGGACAGTGTACCCGGGGGTAGCTTATCCGAGGGGTTATTTACGGGAATAACCTAGAGAGAAGTCAGAGCAAACAAGTAGGAGAGAGAGGCGATTGTATTGATGAACTCGAGATGTTCTGGTTTGGGATCGGATCCTTTACAATGGGGAAAGGGACTGCTATTTATAGTAGTAATAAATGCGATGAGAGTACACGTGGCGACGATCTAACGGCCGAGGGGTCACCCTAATCCGGTGGCACTGGCATTCGCATGTGCTCTGCATTGAATGGGGTGGGTGGATGTGACGTTGCATTAAATGCGGTGGTTGCTTGTCTCCAAAGGGAATCTTTTCGATGATTGAGTTGTTGGCCGAGGGCTCCCCCCTGCGGCCGAGGGCCTGTGTAGCCGAAGGCGTCGTATAGCAGAAGGCGTCGTACAGCCAAAGGCTTCCCTGATTGAGTTGGTAGCCGAGGGCTACTGCATAAGCCGAAGGCTACTGGTAGCCGAGGGCTACTGTTTTACGCCATTTTCTCCCAGTAGCTTCGTATGCTCAAATCTGGCTTCCCTGTGTGATTTAGAGCCTTCGGCCAAGGAGGCCAAAGGCACCCCAGTGTGTATTTCGGGTTTCTTTGAGGCTTGGGCCACTGCATTTGGGCCTCAAATGCTCCTTGGGCTCAATGGGCCTGTGTATGAGAAATAGGAGTCTATGGGCCGGGGGTTCCTGGGCCATATACTCCATCAGTCTTAATTTTTTAAATCGGATCTGACTCCTTCCGATTTGAATCCTTCTAGTTAGATCAAATTTATTAGATGTTTGAATTATTAATGGACTTTTAGGAAAAATATTAATCAGATAAAATTTAATCAAATAAAATTGAATCAGATAAAATTTAGTCAAACAAAATTTAATCAGATACATTTTAATAATATAAAATTTAATCACATACCTCATACATTATTTATCGGATAAAAATTTATCAGATAAAAATTTAATCAAACTAACAAAACTTAAACACAAATTCAAAAAAAGAGTACCTTTTAAAAAATAAACATAAACTCTCACCACAAATTAAACTCTAATTACAACTTAAAATGACAAAACTTTGCAAACAAGAATCCCACTACGCTTTAAATTTAAAAAAACATGGTGTCGGAATTGGTGATTCCGACTTGGGCACTTTTATTATTTTGCTTGAATTTCAGCGTGAACCCAGTCGGAATTCATGCTTCCGACCACCGCTTTCTTAGAAACCCTAGGAAAAGTCCCGTATTTTTGCAATGGTTGTTAGCTTATCCCGTGTTTTGGGAAAACACCCTAAATACGGGGTTCCTTCATAAAATGTGATAGAAAAAGTAACTTAAGTGTTTTATTGTTTTATAACTTTTCCGATGTGGAACAAATATTTTAACACACCCTCTCAGCTTGAACCGGGCTGGACAATATCAGAGTGTATAAATGGGTCAAACAGACCCTTAACAAGCTACCCTTAATAATGGGTGCTAAACAATTAAGCAGTCAAATCACAACCGAACTTGGCTCTGATACCATTTTAAGACCCGAAGTTTCATCCTAAAAGGTTAACCTGATAGGAGGAGCTCAGATCTTAATATAGTGTTTAATTGTTTAAGAGATATCTGGTGTGAAACATCAACACCCCTCCTCACAACCTGCAGACACCTTGTCTGGATCGTGCCATCATTCATTTTTTTCATCGGTTCGTCATTGTCAATTTTTTTTAACTGTGTCATCATTTTTCATACGGGGACCCACACCATGGATCAATTTGGCTCTGATACCATGTTAAGACTCAGATTTCATCCTAATAGATCGACCTGATAGGAGGAGTAGTATCCCAAAGCCTTATATAGTGTTTTATTGTTTTATAGTTTTTTCATGTCGAACAAATACCGTAACACCCGGAATTTTTTTTATACGAAATTAAATACTAATACTCCGTATAATTTAAAGTAATATGAAAATTTTCTTAACATAGTATAGTGTTTTTTAATAGGAATTTTGACATTGCACTTCACTTTTTGGATGATATTGGAATTTGCACCTTATTTAAAAAAAAAAATTGGCTGTAATTTGAACCTCATTTCCCTTTAAAATCTTTTGAGCCCCATTCAGAAATTTTTCTTCACAAAATGTTATATGATGAGGTGCAAAGTCAATTTTTTTTTAAATAGGATGAAAAGTACAATATCACCAATAAAGCGGGGTGCAAAGTCAAAATTCCCCCGTTTTTTTAGTACTTCTTAAGAACTAATTAATTATATATAACTAGAATTAGTACGAATGAGCAGCACCTGTATCAAGAACACCAATGATGATACCATCACCCATATTAGTATCATGAAGGAGATTTGGTGGAGAATGGTTATGCAAGGGGAGGCCTAGGTAGTCCCAAGTCCTTGTTGTTTGTGTCTTATAAAAGAAATTAAGGACCACTTTAACAACACCAGGTAAATCTGCATCAACAAAAGTAAAGTACGTACTTTAAATTAATTAGTAATGTGATATATTCCCCAAATTATTTGCTTTAATATTATCGGGATCAATAAGAATGTGAATGTGGTATTAATTATTTAATTACTTGCAAAGGTTTTAGCTTGGGACTTGGTCATCATGGCAGCAAAACCGGAAAAGCCATGCTTGTAGCTATAAACCATTGAAACTGCCGCTGCTTCTCGACTGCAGTATTTATACGATAGTATGTACATTTTAGTTGATGAAAATTAGTTCATAATTACAAAATAATAATACCACCTCTGTCCTAAATTGATTTGCAGTATTGACATTTTTTTTATCAAACATTTCCATTTTATTCACTTATTAATTAGGATATCAACGTTTAATAATATTATAATTTAGAGTTTGCAATCTTAAAGATTTTTATGTAGTTTCTAAATATGTAAATTATAATTACATAGTATTAAATATTGAATTAACTATGAATAGAGAAGATTTAACTTTTAAGACAAACAAATAATAACTTTTCAAATCAATTTGGATGAAGAAAGATGTCATGAACTAAAAGTTATTTCAACAATAATTGCCGCATGTTCTTTTATCAACTAGATTTTATTTTAACTATAGCTTTTTAAATTGTTACTCCCTCCGTCCCGCTATGATTGTCTCATTTTACCTTTTCGGTCCGTCCCACTAAGATTGTCACATATCTTATTTAGTAAAATTTGTATGGTTCTAAATCATTCTTACTTTATTCTTACTTTATCAATTCAATATCAACCACATAAACTCACTTTTATTAATAACCGTGCCACATTCTCTTGTCTCAAACTTAGGGGGACGGAGGTAGTATTTGACTAAATGACGGAAATGGATGTAATTTATTTCACTTCCATTCTCACTGTTACATATATGTGTTTCGTTGGTTTTATTACCCGATCACATTATTCGGAGTACATATTAAATACATTTTTCACTACAAAAAAAACACGGGATTGGCAAGAATTTTGGCAGGGATTATGCCAAATCCGTGCCAAAAACACTTT